GTGCAATTCGACTCCTCGGCCATCATGCATCGATATGCATGATTGGTGACACGAGGATCGAGGACTACACTCCCCGAAGAGTAGTCATGCATACATATGTGAAAATACTTTGCCATGCCCCTTTGTTGCTCTCTGTTACAGCAAATCAGAAATCGACAGCCTTTCGCAGCTTGGCACGCATTCCAAGAACAATTGCAAACAGAGGCAAACCGGGGCATCACAAGGGATTTTCCGACAAAGGTAACCGGAGCATGCATCATTCATCATCCGGAGCAGATTTGAGGCAGTATAACAGAGGGGGTAGCATGGGGAAAGGTAATGCAGGTGCATGTTCCAATGAGGAGGATCTGAAACAGGAAGTCTGCTAAAAAAATGTAATGATGAGTGAAATTCAAAAGGTGGATGGGGCTATATGCACTACAAGGTTCTTAAGAGGTTTAAGTGGGTCAGAGGGTGAAAGACCCAATATAAATCTGGAAGTATTACTTGAAGGTGTGCAAGTTGGGCATGAGCCCAGTAGACTAAACATGGGGGTGGTTTCGAATTTGAGTGATTGTGTGGCCCAAACCCAACTCAGGCCAACTCTAGCCTAAAAAATCCATAGAAATGTGGACAAAAGGGATGCTAAAAGAACAAAATTCAAGGAAGTAGCAGTACAGAGAGGGAGTAATTCTTGGAAAAGGGGTATTAAGCAAAGGAGGGGCATCAGCTTAGTAGGAGGTCATTGCAAACAAAAAGGCATGGTTGGCAGACTTGGTTTCCAAAAGGAAGCCATCTTCAAAGCTACAACAGTAGCAGCAGCTTCATTCTTGACTACTTCCCAGAGTCATGCTATGAACAGAAGGAGACACTTACTTGAGGAGGCTAAGTCAACAGTGAGGGTGGGAACTTTACTAGGAATGGACTGCCAAGGAAAAAAGGAGGAGGTAGTGAGCAAAGTAGTTGAGTTGGAAGAGAATGACTTTAAAAAAATTGCAGGTGATGAAGGGGCAACCATGGCCTAACTGTTTGCCAATAAGGGTTTGGATGTAAGATGTGAGTTTATCATGAAGATTTTATCATGGAATGTTAGAAGGTTGAGAAGACAAGAAAAAAAAGGAAAAAAATTAAGAATTTAGTGAGGGATAAGAATGTTGATGTGCTATTACTACAAGAAACAAAAAAAAGCTCAATGGATAAAAACTTTGTGAAAACCATCTGGCCTTATGAAGAGATGGAATTTATGTTGGCCCTTAACAAACTATTTAGAGCAGACAAAAACAAGACTTTTATATGTTATATGCTAAGCTCAAAAATAGATGCAAGATAGGCTAAAAAGCTTTGCAAAAATGAGTTAAAAAGGGACAAAAGTCTTACCCTTGTAGACCCTCTTCACAAACAATGTTCCAGCAACTCTTTTGGTTCCAAACCAGTCCAAAAGCTTCAAGGAAAGACCTCTGGTACCTCAGCAACTAAGAAAAGGTGTGATGGTGGGTGTTTGTGCACAAAAATGAGACTAAACACACACTAAACACAAGAGAGAGGGAGATATAGAGATAGAGGATATATGTAAACCCTAACCCTAAAGCTCAAGCTCTAAAAATGTTTTCTAAGTTGTCTAACCCTGAACAAGAGAGAAGAGGTTCTCTTTTATAGACAATTAGTCTTGTAAAGCTTTCAAAGGAAGCTAACAAGAGGGCAATCCCTCCATACACGTGTATGGAGGGGGTGTCAGTGTATGTCAGCTGCACAAAAATATCTGCAAAAGCAGATACGCAATAGTCGGCCGGCCAAAAATGCAATTGACCAAAAAAAGATAGCCGGCCGGCCAAGCATTAGGCCGGTGGCAACAAAACACAGCCGGTGGCCTCAAGCCGTGGCCGGTGGAATGTGGGGATGGCCCACAAGCCATTCTCTGCCCCTCCAAGGCAAAGCACAAGTGTTTGGTGCAAAACCAGACACAAAACAGTCGAGTCAAGAGATCCTGAGGCAAGGCGCGTAGCCGAGACCTCCGAGAACTCAAGACGAACACAAACATGGATGATCACCGAGTGTTCAAGCGGTGACGTCCAAGTCTTGAGGACGGTCAAAAATGGGATGTCTACACATGCATGTATGGAATGAGCTTCAATTCAATATAGAAGGGCCAATTCTAGGCTTAAATCACTAGAGGCTCAAGAACCATGCAAGAATCAACTCAAATACACAATCAAGAAGGTAATTACTCTACCTTAAGTCTTGTATTCAAGTGTAGACAGTCAATTTGCACAAATCCTCTAGAATTCCTTCAAGTTCTCTAGCCAATTCTCAATTGAAGCCAAGTTCTCACTCTCTCACTTATCTCCTACGGTTCGGTCCCTCTCTAAGATGAACAAAAATGATGTGTATCAAAGGCTCCAAATGTTCCATGTAATGGGCCACTAAGTGGCAAGATAGTAATTAAGTCCAAGTGGTGCAATTTATGAATATTTGATCTAATTTAACCATACCAAATCATATTTCAAATAAATATACCATAAAATCACATAAATTCTAATGATCATAAAACATCGATCAATTTCGGATTCGGCCGCCAACAAGGCCTTCAATTTGGCAATTTAAACATAAAACATGAATAGATAATCAAACAGTCAAACAGATAGATAATGCATTTAAACAGATACAGTCAATCAATCAGTTTCAGATTTCAGTCAGTCAGTTCAGTATTTCAATCAGTTCAATTACTTTTCATAATCAGTCTCAATTTAGCAGTAATCGATAGTTTATCGGTAGACAGTGGTGAGGGATGTTACAAGTAATTCTTAAAAAAAGGATATTAAGCAAAGGAGGGGCATCAGCTTAGTAAGAGGTCATTGCAAACAAAAAGGCATGGTTGGCAGACTTGGTTTCCAAAAAGAAGCCATCTTCAAAGCTACAACAGTAGCAGCAGCTTCATTCTTGACTACTTCCCAGAGTCATGCTATGAACAGAAGGAGACACTTACTTGAGGAGGCTAAGTCAACAGTGAGGGTGGGAACTTTACTAGGAATGGACTGCCAAGGAAAAAAGGAGGAGGTAGTGAGCAAAGTAGTTGAGTTGGAAGAGAATGACTTTAAAAAAATTGCAGGTGATGAAGGGGCAACCATGGCCTAACTGTTTGCCAATAAGGGTTTGGATGTAAGATGTGAGTTTATCATGAAGATTTTATCATGGAATGTTAGAAGGTTGAGAAGACAAGAAAAAAAAGGAAAAAAATTAAGAATTTAGTGAGGGATAAGAATGTTGATGTGCTATTACTACAAGAAACAAAAAAAAGCTCAATGGATAAAAACTTTGTGAAAACCATCTGGCCTTATGAAGAGATGGAATTTATGTTGGTAGACTCAAATGGGAGTGCAGGTGGTCTCTTGTGTATTTGGCGACCACATGTCTTTAAGCTAAAGGACTGCTGCAGCAGCAAACATTTCATCATTCTATCAAGTACCTCATGTAATTCTTTTCAATGTGTAATTGTGAATATCTATGCTCCAAATGAGGTTCTAAAGAGGAGACAATTATGGGACTCTCCGGTGAATGTCCATCCATATTTTCCAAATCCATGGTGTGTAGGAAGGGACTTTAATGAAATTAGATATATGTGTGAGAGGAAAAGATGCTCAACAACAGAGAGAGGGATAAAGGACTTTAATGAGTTCGTAGAAAAGTTGGAATTGACTAATATGCCTATGCTAGGCAGACAGTATACTTGGTGTAATGCATTGAAATGAGATAGGTGGAGTAGGATAAACAGATTTCTACTAGATCTAAAGTGGATGGAAAAGTTTTCTTTCAAGTAATGGGGTTTACCTAGGAAAATTTCAGATCATGGCCTCGTTTTGCTGAAGGAGGATGATAGGGATTAAGGACCAAAGCCCTTCAAGTTTATTAATTCCTGGACATCACATCCTTCCTTCATGTCTAAAGTCAAAAAAAAGTGGGAGAAAGCACAAGTTCAAGGGTGGGCAGGGTATAGAGTCATGAGAAAATTGAACATTTTAAGAAATCATTTGAGGGTTTGGAATAAGGAAGTGTTTGGCAACATAGACACTCTCCTAAAGTCAGCAGAGGAGGAGTTACATGATTAGGATCTAAAGGTAGAGTCCAGGCCCTTGGATGAATAGGAAATTAAAAGAAGAAGAGAAGTTAGAAGCCAGATGTGGCAACTCAGTAAGAGTAAGGAAAGGTTGTGGCATCAAAAATCTAGACAACTGTGGGCTCATATTGGTGATAAAAATACTAGGTTCTTTCATATTATGGCAAGTAGAAGGAGGGGAAAGAATTTGTTAAACTCAATTTTAGTGGAGGGTGTGAGCTTAGAGAACCCAGTTCAGGTGAAACAAGTAGTGGCCAGGCATTTTAGTTAGTAATTTTCTGAGAACTGGACTTCTAGGCCAAAAATCTCAGGTCCTTTTGTTGTCATTAGTTCTGAGGCTGCAGTGAATCTGGAAGCTGTGTTTTCTAAAGCTGAGATTTGGGCAGCACTTCAGGATTATGATGGGAACAAAGCCCCTAGTCCAAATGGTTTTAACCTCGCTTGCATTCAAAGGTATTGGCATATAATTAAAGGGGAGATAATTCAATTGATGCGCGAATTTCATACAAATGGCAAGCTGTCCAGAGGGGTTAACAGCTCTTTCATTGTACTTATTCCTAAGAAGGATAACTCTACAGGTTTGGGGGACTATAGACCAATTAGCTTGGTAAGCTCTGTCTATAAGATTTTGGCTAAGGTGCTATCCAAAAGACTTAAGAGGGTCCTCTCATCTGTGATCAGTGTGGTGCAATCAGTTTTTGTAAGTGGTAGGTTCATTTTAGATGGAGTGCTAATAGCAAATGAAGTTGTATATGGATGAAAAAGATCAAAGAAGAAAGGCATTATACTAAAATTGGATTTTGAGAAAGCCAATTACTCCATAAATTGGGAATTTTTATTGTTAATGTTGAGAAAGTTTGGATTTGGTAAAAAATGGATTAGATGGATAGGGACTTGTATTTCTACCGCTATGGTATCTGTCTTGGTTAATGGTGCACCCACAGAGGAGTTTCAACCACACAAGGGAAGGCAAAGAGATCATCTTTCCCTATTTTTGTTCATTATTGCAGCTGAAGCTCTCAACCTGTTACTGGTGAGGGCAATAGAGAAGGGTTTGTTCAAAGGTGCCTCAATTGGACCTAATAAGTTGAGTATCTCATATCTCCAATTTGTAAATGATACTGTCATATTTTGTGAAGGTGATGAGGAGGAAGTTCTGAACATTAAAAGGGTGTTGAGGTGCTTTGAGGTGATGTCTGGACTAAAGATCAATTATCATAAGAGTGTAGTTTGTGGAGTGGGTTTCCATGACGACCAAACTAAGGTGTTTGGTCAGAGTTTGAACTGCCTATCCAAAAAATTGCCATTTAATTTCTTAGGTTTACCATTAGGGGCCAATCCTAGAAGGATATGCACATGGCATCCAGTAGTGGATAAGGTGAGGAAGAAGTTGTCTTCTTGGAAGAGGAAGTTGTTGTCTGTTGTGGGGAGACTGACTTTGATTAAATCTGTCCTCTCTAATCTGCCAATCTATTTTCTTTCAATCTTTAGAATGCTTAAAGAGGTAGTCAAGGCTTTAGTTAATCTCCAATCCACTTTTCTATGGGGTAGGTCTGAAAATAAGAAAAAAGTGCACTTGGTCCATTTGAGGGAGGTTACCAAAAGCAAAAGTCAAGGAGGTTTGAGAGTGAGAGACTTAGGTGAGGTGAATGATTGCTTGTTACTAAAGTGGTGGTGGAGGCATGCTAGTGAAGATAAAGCTCTGTGGAAATCTGTGGTGTGCTCAAGGTATAGTAGAGCTGGTGGGGTTTGGGTTCCATCAACAATTCACTCAGATGGGGTGTCCATAGTATGGCAGGATATTTTATAGTTCACTCCAATCAACCAACAATTAGGTGAGTTTTATGGTGGCCATTTTAAAATAAAAGTTAGAAATGGGAGGATGATACAATTCTGGTCTGATGTTTGGTTTAATAACAGAGGTCTGGAGGAGGAATTTTCCAGATTATATAGCTTATCCACTGAGAAAGCAGAGTATTTGTAGCAAATCAATGCCAAGAAGAACAACCTAGGGGTGTGGCAACTTTAATTTAGAAGAAATCTCTTGGCTTGGGAGGAAGAGGAATTGCAGAGGTTGTCTGGTTATTTGGTGTCATCCCCTGCTATCAGGTTCGATCTTGAAGATTCTTGCTCTTGGTTAGCAAATAGTTCAGGGCAGTTCTCTGTGTCCTCTGTGTGGAGATGGTGGGTTACAGCAAAAAGGCCTGGTTTGAAGGTACCTGCTGGGGTATGGAAAAATTTGGCTCCCCTAAAAGTGCAGTTCATTTGTTGGTTGGCTTAGAGAGGCAGAGTTAAGACCTCATCCTTCCTACATGGGATTAGGGTTTTAGTTGCCAGTGTAGATATTTAGTGCGTTTTCTGCCATTTCGCGGTGGAATCTCTAGAGCATGTGCTATTTTTTGCCCACTGGTCTAGAAGTGTTGGTCACACATGGTAAACTGGTGGGATCAGACCTAGGTAATTCCTGGCTCAGTAAAGGGTCTGCTACTTTGGTGGTCAGGTGGTAAGTTGAAGCCTTAGGTATCCAGAATTTGACAGTTAATTCCTTCAGTTGTGTTTTGGTCTGTTTAGAAATTAAGAAACGATTGTCTGTTCAAGGGGGCTTTTCCAGATTTTGAAGACTTATGCGGAGAATAAAAGTGCAGATTGCTTTGTGGGCCAAATGGGTCTTGGAGGTTGATTATACAGTTCATGATCTTGTGTCCAACCTTCACTAGATCTGGCTGTCTGTATGATGTTTCCTTTGGCTCTGGTATTGGCAGTAGAGAGTCTTAACTGCTTGGAATTGGTAGATGGGGTTATTTTGATGCTTTTTGCCCTTTGATTTTGGTCTTTGTTTCTTTTGTTGGTTTCTCACCAACGGCCAAGGCTTGTGCTAGCATACGATAGGGTTCCCTTCTCGGTGCCAACCTAGTTGGGATTGAGGTGGTGTTCCGTGATGCTCTTTGCATTTTCTTCCCCTTTATTGATGTCTTTTCATTCTCTGTATACTATTTCCCATCAATAAAGTGTTTTTTTGCGAATCAAAAAAAAAATATATATATATATATATCTGATATTGATCTTCTTTTAGTCTTTTATAATTGAGCATGCGAGAAGATGGTATAGATTCGGAAGATGAACGCCGAACGCATGGCTGCCCGAAAAAAGGCTGAGGCCATCCGTTTTGGATTTGTCCCGACTGAATCTGTTCAACCTACTATTGTAGAGGAATTGGCCCAGGTTGTCGTCGTTGAGACAGAAAAGGATGTGGGACAAGAACAAGTTTTGATTTTCCCGCTCCGTTTTATCTGAACCCTATAATTTAATTTTTTTTATTATAATAAAGTTAAAATATTAAAATATTATATTTAATATTAATTATTACGTATTTATTTTCTATCTTATATCATAACATTAAGTATAATTTATTATTCGTTATATACTATATTATCTATAATTTTTATTAATATTTTTATTTTTTAACTTATAAAATTAATATCCTATCCCCCGCCTCACACCTGCCTCACTTCCGCCACCACCCTATTTGACCTACCCCTAATATGATATGGGGTGGGATTAGATTACTATAAAAATCCATCCCAAAACTGACCCATGACCATCCTAAATTTAAATAGTTCATTTCCTTTGATTGTAGGGAACATAAAAATAAAAATAAAAATAAAAATAAAAACAAAAACTCCCAAAAAAATTTAAATAGTTAAAAAACAAATTTTAAGCTCATTAGTACAACCCATTAGTACAGCCCATTTTTTTGTGGGCAACCCAAGCCTTACCTTAGCTAAATTTATGAAAGACTCTTAAGTTAACTTATTAATAATAGTGTCAAGTTAATGACATAATGAAATGACTTGCACATTACCTTTTTTAAATAATTAAAGATTTATGACAAAAATTTCTAATCTATGAAGCTTCCAATATATATCCACTAATTTGTGAAATGAAAGCTAGATCGATACAAACAATATTTGAGGACCAAATCATCCACTAAATATGTGAAGAAATTTCAAAGAACCAAGCGTTAGTTGAAAATTATAAGATTGGCAAGTGCTTTCAATTTTTCTTTGGATTGCTTTTTGATGACTAATGATACAGTTGAGGGAGGCCCAACCCAATGACCATGGCCGGAGCTCGAACGGCCTAAAGGTTCGTTTGACAAGATGATTTGTGGTTAAAATAGTCACAAAGATAAAATAGGTTATTTTAGCCATAACAAACAAAACATCACATCCAACTCATAATCATTACATTCTTCTCTCACAAAAAAAGTCAAAAAAATCAAAAAGTCCAAAAGTCCTTCCCAAACCAAGTTTTTTAGCCCAGATTAAAATAGCCAAAAAAGTCAAAAAGTCAAAAAGTCAACCCACTTCCCAAACCAACCCTAACTCAATCATGGGTCGAGATTAATCATATGAAAATAACCCAATGACCATGGCCGGATTTATAAGTTTTAAATATAAATTTAAAATTATTATAATTATCTCATAATTTTTGTATTAAGGAGCAATAAAAGGGATGTTGAGATTATCAATATATCTATATATTTTATAAAAGAATACTTTTAAAGAGAGATATTATGAGAGTTTCAAATTTTCATACAAAATTATTTTTAAATTCAAAACCTCTATGTGGGATTGTAAAATAAAAGTTAAATTGAAGGTAACCAATCGGGATTTTCTTAATTGTTTAAAATTAAGAAAATAAAAAAAAAATTAGTATGAGATATTGATCATAAGGCTTCTCATTAAAAATCTCCTTTTGCTTATATAAATGGAAGTATAAGATTCACTTTATATAAGTGAAACAATTCAATTTTTCTTTCTTTTCCCGATGTGGGAATAAAATGTAAATGGAAACTAGCCAATAAGAATTTCCGTAATTGTTTAAAATTAAGAAAATTCAGTTATTTTAGAATGAAGGTTTGGAGCTTCTAGAAAACTTCTCCCTAAAAATCCTATTTTTTTCTTATATAATATATAGATAGATAGTGAAACAAACTTTGTTTTTTCTTCTTCTCCCGATATGGGATTATAAAATAAATCATAAACTAATTAGAATTTTATTTTATATGGTTAAATGGAAGTTAGCCAATGATTTTTTTTAATTGTTTAAAATTAATAAAATCAGTATGAGAAATAGCGATTAAACCGACGAATCGGTCAAACCCAAAATTGTTTAACCTAATTGGTTATGTCAAATAACCAATCAACTTATACAAAAATTAATTAATTAAAACTTTTAAATATTATTTTAATTTTAAAATTTAAACTGTCTTGAATTAAAATATAGACAATACTACACTATTAAGATTCACTTCATATAAGTCAAGCAACTCACCTTCTTCTTTTTTTCGATGTAGGATTATAAAATAAAAGTTAACAATTATTTGGACGAAAGATTATTTCTAATCAAGTAATCTCAGTCTTTCAATATTTAATCAAATCCATTTTTAGTTTATTTCGAGTCAAACAAATCTAATCAATATATTTTGATAAAATCGCTAAAATCGCGATTAAACTAACGAATCAATCAAATTAAAAATGATTTAGCCTAATTGGTTAGGTCAAAATTAAACTTTTAAAATTTAAACTATATTGAATTGAAACATGCACAACACTACAATATTAAATGGGATAAGAGTATAAGATTCACTTTATATGAGTAAAACAACTCATTTTTTCTTTTTCTTTTTTCAATACGGGATTATCAAATAAAAGCTTGCCAATGGAAATTTTCTTAATTGTTTAAAATTAAAAAAAAAAAATCAAGAAAATTAGTATAAGATATTGAAACTCTTACAAGACTGCTCACTAAAAATTCTCTTTTTCTTATATAATATATATGTAGATAGATAGATAGATTGGCTTCAGCTCGTCTCTCTCATTCAATATCACTTTTATCATATTATTATTCCCTCTCTGCAGTAGTTTTGTATTTTCTAGATTGATCAAGTCCACACTACCAACAGATTCTTTAGGCAAATTGATGAAGTTTCTTTAATATCATATTGATAATGCAATTCGTCCTGGGTGGATGGGTCGGTCTGGCCTAAGCTCTTCAAGTTCCGATTCAGGTGGATGATTCCACCAGATGACCTGCAAGCAAGTCCAAAGGGGAACGGGGTAGTCCCCCAGTGACCCTCCGGCGAGAAAATCAGTAGAGGAAGAAGGAAATATATATATATATATAGAGAGAGAGAGAGAGAGATAGAAAAGCTTAACCTTCCTCTTGTCTTCGATTCTTACTTATATCCTTTGGTAATCATTTCACTGTCCCTTGCGACGTGCCCCCTTCCGCCGAAAGCCTGTGCCGTAGCTTACCTTGTTCAGGGTGAGGGGGCTCTGTTCCGACGGGGAGGTGTTGTCGTAATAAATACTGTGATGGGCTGTATTAATGGTGATGTGTTGTGGCAATAACTCTGCAGATCTTTGTCTGTTGATGTGGCCTGTGTTTCACCTGCCATGTGCTTGAATGTCATTGGCCCTCCATGCCCAGATGGCCTCCAGCTGTCCTGGGCTTTGCCAACCGGGTTATGCTATGGGTCCCAGGCGATGGGTTTGGGGTTGTTTGTTGTGGGCTGTAAGCCTTATGGGCCTATCCATGTCAGTAGTTCCCCATTTCCGAGTGCAGCTTTAGTCCAACGAAGGGAATAGTAATAAGGAAGAGAAGTGCGAACCGAGTGGAGAGGCCGACTGTTAGGTGTGCCGACCGCGAGGTGTGCTGACCGCAAGGGTAGCCGAGCGGGAGGGGTCGACCGTTAGGCGGGCCGACCGCAAGGGTGGCCGAGCGGGGGGAACTGACCGTGAGGGT